AATTGTGAGGTTTGATTATTTAAATTATTTATTAGCTATTTTTATTTCTCTTCTGAATTATAGTTAGGCCTTTTGTCTATTTTTACATGAGCTTTTAAAATATTTTAGGAACCAGCTGGCGTTTTTTCCAGAGAATCATCAATCACTCTTAAATAAATAAATCTCTGTTGCTACTCATTCTTGGGCAAACTAAAGTTGCCCACACGTGAGGAAGTAATAGCCCAGTGGCTATTCGTTGTCTCCAACTCAGTCCCTGTGACTTGAGGTATGGAAGCAGGTTTTTATGTTCTGCCTACACTGTGTCCCTCTGACGTGTGACAAGATTCACCAGTTGGTGGTTCTATAAAGCCTCCCATCCCTCTGTTTTAGCTGCTCTGAAGGTTGACTGAATCTCTTTGAGGTGATCCCTGAGTCTCCGTGGTGAATTTCATAAATACAGTGAAGCTTAGGTTTCAAGATAGCATCACAAACTTATGAAACTTTTATAGAAATTGGTCCTGGTTTCAGGTGATTACCTCTGTCATCATGGTTCTGGCTATCACAATGCTAATTATAGTTTATTGCATTGGTCATAACTCTGCCCGACTCTGCCCCTCCTCCACCCCATGTGTGTATATATGGAGAGAGAAGCTTTTGTCTTTTTTTTTGCTAGTCACAGCTACTGAATTTTTTCTTCAGTTTTGTTTCATTGTATTTACCATTAGAAAGTTTACCTGAAAACTCTTAGTAATTATTATGGAAACTGTTCACAACCTTTGTGCCTCACTGATGGATGGGTGTACAAGATCCATTGTCTCGATGATGAAAAGACTTTTATCTACACCTAGAGAAAGAAAAAAGGAAAACAGTTGAAGACAGTCCTTGCATGTGGGAGCTTATGAAAGAATGAAGCTCATGTCTGACTAGCAGGGGAGTCAGTATTTTCACAGCTTCATGTAATTTGTGAGGCTGCCCGATATCTTGGTTCAAAATAATCCATCCTGTTTCTGATTCTAATAGCAGTAATCTACAGCTGGGCATTAGGAGTATTTCCATAAGGCACTGTTCACCTTTCTCTGTAGAAGAGTTGATAGGTTATCCTGTTGGACCATTTCCACATGTGTGCAAGTCAATGTAATTACGCTGGTTAGAGTGTGTGGCTTTGATAGTACCTTTCTAACTTTGTTCGTTTTCATGATAATCTTGTCTTGCCACTGGTGTTTTACACATCTTCCTTTCATGCCAGGAACACAGTCTTTTCAAACGGTGTCTCATAACTTTCTAGTGAAAGATGACTATAGCCTCTTCTCTCTGCAAATGTAGACACCGAGCGTCGCAAGTATCATTGCACCAGCCACCTCTGTTCTGAGACGTGCCAACCTACCAGCTGTCCTTCCTCCCAGAGGAGCCCTTTCTCTGTGAAATCACATTGCTTCCTTTAAAAGCAGCAATATCTGGGCTAGTTGTCTTTCTTGTGTTCACAAAAAGCGCTGAAAAGATCTGCTTCTGTTAGGTGGATCAGATTGTGCTTGATCTTGAAGAGATTCACTCACTAGTGATTTGTCAAGGCAACTGCATTCTTTTGACAAAGTGTATTTTATTGATTATGCTATTACAGTTGTCCCAGTTTTTCTCCCTTTGTTCTTGACGCAGCACCCTCGTTCCCTCAGGCCATCCTGCCACTACTGTTCATGGCCATGGGACATACATATAAGTTCCATTTCCTATGCTGTACTTTACATTCTCAAGGCTATTGTGTATCTACCTATTTGTGCTATTAATGCCCTCAGGCTGCATTGTTAAAGCACTCAGGACGAAGGGATGCTTAATTTGTCATTAGCTTTGGACAGACCTGGAGGCTGACAGTCTCCAAATAAAACTGCAAACCTTTTCTGCTGATCTTGGGAAGTATATTTTCCAAGTCTTCTCTTGTAAACTAAAAAGCAAGGAAGTTGAATTTCTCTTTGGTGTCAAACTTGCCTGTAAATGCTTCCTGTACAGGGTGAATGTTCCTGAAAATGTGAGACAGTCTGTAAGTGTAGATGTTATTCTCTGAATGTAATCTCATAGCCACAGATGTAAAGAAGTGAAAACATAAATTGGCATGCTTAAATGTTATTTTCATATATATAAATAAGAACAGAAATAGATATTTTTGTTAGACTTAATCTCACTAATTTCTTTTGTTAAATCTTAGCAGAGATCCAAAAAAATATACGCAAGACCCTTTTTAGACCTTATGTTAGGGTCAGTTTTAATATTCTTATATTAGTTTGAGTTGGGCTTAGAGTCCAAACAACCTACTATGGACCAAAAAATATTTTCAGTTAATTTTAGGTCCACCTGTGGTCAAATCTTGGCTAACTGTCTTTAAGTCTTCGGTTTTGCAATATGTCTTACATGAGAAATGGTGGGGTGGGGGGACCAAGAACAAAACCCACCAATGAACTCATAGCACAGAGGCAGCATTCAAAAGAGGCTGCTGAGGAAGAATTTTAGGGTTGTAATTAGGTCTCCCAAAACATCTCTCATTGGCATTCGTACCATATGACTTATTGCCAATAGAATAATCATACATTTTAGAAAATTATCTTATGTAAGTGAGTTTTCAGAATCGTTTCTGAATTTTTGGTCACACTGTTCGAACAGTTTTATGCAAATATTGAATAACTTCCCTATCATATAACTTTATGTCAGCTATCAAACCCAAAGGCCATTTGATGTTGACAATTACATCAGAATAACATATAGGTAAATGACATGAAATTGACCCTCTCTTAAAATGAGTTTCCAGTAAGTTAGCTTAGATTCCCTGTGAGTAAAAGTAGTGCACATTTGGTTTTTCAACTAAATCATTTATATGAAGAATTGAAATGGTGACTTTGAAAAGCTTTCTTTAAATAACATATATTCAGTATATTTTTATCTTAACAGAATACATTTTAAAATCAAGGAATGTTGGCATTATTTTCCACTCATTTAATTTTGATTTGCTTTTAAAGAAAACTCCAGCCTTTAAAGAAATGAAATATAAACTGGATTTTTACAATGTAGTCAGCAATGATTTTTAAAGGATTTTTCATTTGTTTAGATAAAATGCAGAACTAAGAAAAACCTTCATAAAACTTTATAATAGAAGCTTCTTTTTACATATGCTATTTTATGTTAAATATTTCATCTCTCTGCCCTCATTAAGTTGTCTCATCATTAGATATAGTGTTACTAAATAGTTGTAAGTTTACAGGGTTTTTTTTTTTGATTAATGATGGCTTGGACTAAATTTTCATTGGGTAGGATCAGCTCTGTTTAAAGATGGCAAAATGCCATTATGACATTAATGCCAGAATTTAATGAGAACCAGAAGTTAACTTCAAGGACCTTCATACTTTAATATGAGGGCATGATCATATTCCGATTATTTTACTGCACTGTCCCATTAGAAATAAGTTATTTTTTATCTTTTTTCTTGTCGTAAAAGTTTTGCTCAGCAAACACTTACTGAATATCGACCATGTGACAACCATGTTCTCAAGTCTTACCAGTGAGACTGTTTTCCATCCTCAAATAAAATAGACCCTTTCTGAGCAGACAGAGCAAACATGAGCAACACCTCTCTTACGTAGAACTGTCCTGGCCTCTCAACCTAGTATGGACCTGGTTTCCCAAGGCATGAGCCTACCTCTCTGACCTCTTGTCTGTCCCCTCATTTCTCACATGAGCCCCCCTGCTCCATTCTCTGGATTAAAAGTGGGCTGCCTATGTCACTGTCCTGAAAAGGTGTGGGGTCTTGAGTGTTTTAGGTGTGGGAAGGTTGGAAAGGTGGGTTATAACTGGATGTTGTCGTTGTGGTACTAATTACTCTGTGGCTCACAGGAAGAGAAAAGTTTTGCAAAACTACACACTGAAATTTATACTAGGGCATGTAGGAGGGCTGGCAGTGGGAGTCTAGTCTTTTGAGGAAAAACCTTCCTGTACCGAAGATGTATAGCGATAATGACTTACCTTCTGTGCAATGCAGGTAACCTTTAAAGCTAGTTTCTGCTCTAAAAATCCTACGATCCCTGTATGCTTAGACCCCAAAGAGAGTAACATACCTAAAGCAAATAACTGCCTATGTTCCTTATTCTTTTTTTCTCATCATATTATGTATACATACTTGCAAAGAAATGCTGAGGCCTCATACAGACTAGGATGCATAATCCTGAGATGTAAGAAGCAAAACATACCATCTAAAAACTCCTGATGGAGGAAAACCTTAACTATTAAGCTTGTGGTCCCGAGCCTCTTAGTGACTAAGGCAAAGAGAACAAATAAGATAGCATGGTGTGATTTTCTGGTTGTAAGCCACGTACTAGTTCTTCAGAAACAAGCATTTCTCCTGCTCTCAATTAATAATAAGAACAACTTGTCTATGGGATTTCTGTAAGAGACCATAAGCCACATAATGAATGATGGCCTCATGAATTTTTATAGAAAATAAAGAAGTATTCCACATATGTCATTTCGTATATTGGCCTCTGGAGAACGCGGAGGGAATAATGTTAAAAGCAAGACATTTGTTTCTCCCTGGGTTAGGGCCAGGGGAGTTTGAGACTTCTGGTATATTTACTGTAGATAGATGCTTATTTTCTTTTGACCCACTGACAGGTGGAGCAGTAGAAAGATGTAAAGATGTCTAGTAAAGGGTAGCATTGTTAAAAGGAGGAGGGGATAAGTGGAATTTTTGTGGCAGGATGATATTTGCAAGACTGCTCAGGCCGCTGGGAGGTTTTTAAATATGCCAGTTCCCTGTAACAGGAAGATCAGTCTCTGTGTTAGACAGCACATCCAATTTAGTAAATTATTATTATTCCGTCAAAATTAATGTGAACAATTTTCTCTTTGAGGCTGCTTTTTCCATAGGTGATGTTTTCCAGATGGGCTTTGTGTAAAACTCTTAATGTTTTATGTTTTCTTTCCCAGAGAAAGAGCCTTTTCTGACACGTCTTTCTTTCTTTCTCTCTCTCTCTGCCTCGTTGTAGGGAAGAGAGCACCAAAGGCGAAGGAGAAGAAGAACAAAAAGAAGAAGAGGAAGCTGATAGAAAGAGCCCAGGAGCAACACAGTGTCTTCCTAGCTACAGACAGGGCTAGCCAATAAAATAAAAGACACATCTGGTGGATTTTGGGGGTTTTTTGTTTTTTGTTTTTTTTGCAAAAGTGCACAGAGCTACTCTCCACTCCCGGACACTGGTGCGCGGTGCTTATGCCGCTCTGACCAGTATCTGTTCTCAGTGACATTGTGAAAGGAGGAGCCACGAAGTGGTCTCGGTGTTATTTATGCTTCGATTTGCAGCTGGAGACTAAGGTGGGAGCTCATGGCCTGCACCAGGGGAAGCAGGAGTGAGGGAACAGCCTGTGACTTGGCTGCGTCCTGCGGTCCTAGCACCCCCACAGAGGAGGAGGTGTGAGGCCGCAGACCACCGTTGGAGGACAGACTTTGTGCATATTTATGGGCAGGAAGATGCTCAGCAGGCAAAGTGCTCTCTCATCATGTCCTTTACTTCTCACGTTGTGCACTGTCAAGGATAAATGTATGTGGATATCTGCTTAGTGTGACCACGTGTTGTCCTCAGCATCTGTTCCCTTCAGACTGTCGTGGGGCAGAACTGTTCTTACCTGGGCATGTGCTACGGGAGTTCCTCCTCGGTTTCACAGTGGCTCTAATATGTACATATTCTGCTGGGGCTTCGCATAAACCTCTTATTTACTGTATATTTATGCTCTCTTATGTGTAACAAGTCATACCTGATTCATAGATGCCACTTTGTTTTTAGTGGTCCCTAACCATTGTCTGGTAAATGACGGTTCTAGTTTTGGGAATTGACAAATGTTGTTGCCCCTGGGAACTTAACCTTTCTTTTCTTCGTGGGCCGATTTCTCATTGTAAGGATAGGATAAGCTAGTTTGTACATAGGGTCGAATGACCGGTGTCAAAGAATTTGAGTATCTCCTCACACAGAAAGGCAGCATGCGGCAGCTGACAGTCAGAAGCCAGAGCTCCCTTTGAGTCTAAGATGTGATGACTTCCTGAAACACAGGAAGAATTACATGCAGCCACTCGTAGTACTTATCATGCAGTTTCACAGGCCAGCTAGGGAATGCTTCAAACTTCCATTTCAAACTTCGATAGACACACGCGTCATTGAAAGCAGTCCCTGACTTAGGGTGACAGGGTACCTACCAGTATTCTTGGGTCACCGTAGGGCTTGCCATCACAAGACTATGCACAGAATTGGAGGAGAAAGCAGAATGGCCTCCTGGGACAGCTGGTCAGACAGTAGCTGGTCTCCTTCCAGCCAGAGTCTGTGCCACGTCCCAGACTGAGAAGGCCCTGTGGGTGCTTCCGAGGGACTTTCGGAGCAGCAGCTTCACGGGCATCATTGTCCCCTCGGGGGCATTAGTTCTCAAAGGGTTTTTAATTGGCCACTTCTAAAATCATCACTACCTTCCTGGCTGATCCAGAAGAAACTTAGGACAAAAAGAAATGGTTGCAGATTTTTGAGAAAAAACAATAATAAAGCAAGGTTAAGTAAAGCCTTTCTCTCACCTTGCATTGGCAAAACTACCTCTTCAGCATTATGGTTAACTTTTGAGTCAAAAGCGTCTTACCAATAAGTATGTGTCATATGCATTGTTATGAAGCTATTATCGCTATGAGATAAGCCATATATGAATGTTGTATACAACTTTAGGGTTTGCATTCAGTCCTGAAGCGTTCACCTCCTTTCACATCTATCTACACTATATTCCTATTACTAAGCAGGGAGGGGGCTCTTATATCGTGCTTCATCGTTAATACGTCAATACCTGTTCTGTTTCTGGGATGTTCTTTTCATGCATTAAAAACTTCAAAAGTATTTGTGAAAAGTTTTTCTTTAGACATATTTAGAAAAAACACACCACTTTAAAATTCTATCCCAAAGGTCCTTAAAGCAGACCAAAAAAATTAAAATCTGTTGGTAACTACATCTGAGACACTAACCAGGTTAACCATACAATACACAGTAGTGGAGAGGTTAGGAGTGGGGGCTTTGGAGTCAGACTGCCAGAGTTCCAGCCTAGGCTGCGAGAAGAGCCTGGAGTAGATTATTTAATCTCTCCCAGTCTCAGTTTCCTCACCTGTGGAACGGAGGTAACAATATTTACCTACCTGCAGGGCTCCGTTTTAAGAGCTAAATTAAGTAAAATGCATATAGGTTTGTGTGCTGAGGATTACATCAGGTAAATGTGTAAAGTATAGTTAATGCAGCATGATATATACTAAGCATTACACAAGGTGTTACCTCTCTTTTTAATTTCCTTTGTCCTTGGCTATTTAAATTATTTCAAAAGTATTTCTCCTTATCAAAAAATGAATATGTGTATGAAAGCTTCCGTTCTCTTCAATCTACAGCTTGATGCTTGGACATTATTTGCTTAAACTTCTCTCATAGTTATATGGGAAATGGTTTACAGCTACAATGCACACATACTAAAGCATAATTTATAGCTTCAGGGTAGTTATACAAAGATCTGCTGGTTTTCCACAAACACATACATTGAAAGCAGTGTAGGGTGGCATAAGTAGAATATATGGAATTGGTTTTCTTCCCTATATTTTCAGGTAGTTTAGCATCGGAAAAGTATTGTAAAAGATGGGACTACAACTTTCTCAAGTTTGACTAGGATTGCGGGAAATGGAAAAAGGTTATCCAAAGGTACAAACTTCCTGTTGAAAACTAATGTCATGGGGATCTAATGTACAGCATGGTGACAATAGTTCATTGAATATTTCAACACTGATAAGATAATAAATGTTAAACATCCTCATCACCAGAAAAGAAAATTTGACAGATCAGCACTTAACAAAAACCAACTTTATGAATGCCTTAATTCTTTCTCAAGATGCTAATACCAGTCATTGTAAACATGGGATTCTCATGTTTTGCTTGAGACCTTGGAGAAAAGTTAACACCCAGCCTCAGGCATGTAATTCATATCCAGGTGATGTGCAGTTCCTTCTCCAACCTCATTTCTTTTTTTCTCTTCTCTCTCTCTCTTTTTTTCTTTTGCTTTAAAGGGGAGCTGTGAGAGAAGTAAACAATACTTCTGTTCATTGTAGAGAAGTTTGTGTGCAGTGACTACTATTTGATAATACCATGTTAGAAAAGGAGAATTAGTAACCCTGTAATTACATCTCCGTCTGGACCAACCTCATCATTCTCCTTCTCCTTTCACAAGGAGTAGCCATCCACTCCACTTATCCATTTGGTCCCATCCCCTCTCACCTTTGTGGGATCATCAGTATACATGCCTTTCATTTCTTCAGTTCTTCCTCTCCCTTCAACTTAACATGCTCCCTTTCAAGGTCTTTGCTGTCCAATATCCCGGAAAAGTAGCTGACATTCATTGATGTTTTCAACCTTCTCCCAATCTCATCTTAACTTATCATAATCTTGTTTCTTCCTCACAACTGTATTGCAATTGTTCTGACAAAAGTAGCAATGACATTCCCGTGGCTAAATTCAAAGAAAATGTCTCATTGCCTCAATCCTTTTGTGTGGGTCCTATCTGCTATTTCCACCAAGTCTGACTCTATCATTTCTTTTTCTTTAGGAATTTTACTTCACATTGGCTTCTGTGACATTTCTACCCTGGCTTTTCTGCTTCTCTGGATAGTGCTTTTCAGTTGTCAAGTTATTTCTTAGCCTAAATTAAAAATATTGACATTTTAGGGGTTAGCTTACTATTTAATCTTTTTTGGTTTAATTTTTTCTCTCCTCATAGAAATACCACCTGCATGTGGTTAACTTCCAAACCAATCTCTGTTGCCAGGTCTCAATTATTTCTAAGCTGCTTCTAAATATCTTGATGAGGGATCCCTACACTTATCTCAAGTTCAGTGTATCCAAAAATGAAGTTACTACTGTGTCAGTCAGGGTATTTCAAACAGGGAATTGAATACTTGGAAATGACTACACGGGTATAAACAAGACAATCCAGAGATTAGAAACAGCAAGAAGCCACTCACCCACTGGGCAAAAGGGATAACAAGAAGCAATAAAGTTTCTAAAATCCAGAAGATAAGACCATCCGACTAGAGCTAGAACAAATAGCTGAGGCCAGAGCTATGTCCACTGAGTAAACTGAAACCAAAGACAGAAAGCTTGTCTCATGGAAGCTGAAATCTTAGAAGAGCTCTGGTCACCACAAGAAACATCGCCTGAGGAGGAGTGAGAGAGAAAGAAATACCCTGGCTTCTCCCTATCTTTCAACCTCCAGCCTCCCACCAACTTCTGCCTAGAAGCTGGGGAGCCTGGGTAATGTAGTTCTTTCTGACACTGAGAAGCACAGGAGAAGTTGAGAGTAGACCCAAGAGCAAAGAAGCAAATGCCCAGCATATGCCTCCCAAACAATTCCTTTTTCTTCCCTCCCATTTAATAGTTAGTAATATCTCTACCTACTTAGTTGGGTAAGCAAAGACCCTTGAATTCAACATTTAATCTCATTGTTCCCTACAGCTAATCTATTACCAGATTCTAGTGTGTCCACCTCAGAAAACTTTGGTGAATTTTCACCACCTTTTTATTTGCTTCATTTATGCCTGTTTGGTCCTCTTTTTCTCTGTTTTATTATTATCCTAAATATTCTTGCCTCACCTCAATTTTTCACTTATATTTCTTCATTTATTTTTGTTTTAACATATTTGTTCTGCTATCCTCCTGTTCCTTGTAGAATAACATTAAACATTTCACGTGAAATACAGTGCCCTTTTAATTTTCTCTTCACCTATATATCTTGTGGGGATCAAGAAAAATCTTAATGGACTGGAATGATCATTCCTATAAAAATCTCCAAGGGTTTTCTGGATAAACATATTAATTAATACCATTTGAATCATGAAGGCAGAGGTGTAATGGCAACTATGGCTTTGAAAATAGGTGGTAAATACATTAAATCTAATTTAGAGGTTGAGCAGTCTGAAAAAATGTGTTGAATAAAAACTCAGATATTTTTAGTTAATCTTGGTTTATGGTATCAGAAAGTCTAGTTTCCTTATTTTGCATGTGGCTTTCCAATTTTCCCACCATTATTTATTGAAAATACATAGAAGAAAATATATGTACTAAACTTCATCTCAGAGCATTTTTTAATTCTCTTGACTTGAAAGGCAAGAAAATTAAAGGCAAAAATAAATAATTGAGAGTACTTGAAACTAAAAAGCTTCTGCCCTACAAAATAAACCATCAACAAAACAAAAAGTCAACTGAATGGGAGAAGATTTGTAAGCAAAACCCTGGTAAGGGACTAATATCCAAAATATATAGACTCCTATAACTCGACAACACCCCCCCAAACAATCTAACTAAAAATTGGGTGAAGAATATGAACAGACACTTATCCAAGAAGGCATGGCCTATAGGTACATGAAAAGATGCTCAACTTCACTGTGGATAAGGGAAATACAAATCAAATTCATGAGTACCACCTCATGCCTGGAGAATGGCTCTTATCAATGACACAAGAAATAAGGGTTGAAGAGGATGTGGAGAAAAGGGAACCCTCATACCCTGCTGGTGAAAATGTAAACTGGTGCAGCCTCTGTGGAAACTGGAGTTTCCTCAGAAAATTAAGAATCAAGCTGTCGTATGACCTAGCAATCCCTCTTCTGGGTATCTACCTGCAAAATTTTGAAAATACCTATTCATAAATATATATGTAT